GTGTGTGTGTGTGTGTGTGTGTGTGTGTGTGTGTGTGTGTGTGTGTGTGTGTGTGTGTGTGTGTGTGTGTGTGTGTGTGTGTATGTGTGTGTGTGTGTGTGTGTGTGTGTGTGTGTGTGTGTGTGTGTGTGTGTGTGTGTGTGTGTGTGTGTGTGTGTGTGTGAATGTGTGTGTGTGTGTGAATATATGTATGTGTGTGTGTGTGTGGTGTATGCAAATTTCGTGTACATGTTAGAGATTTAACTTGTGTATTGCGGCATGGCACTGTTGGCATTCTGAGAAGTTTGCTACCCATTGGCACTCTTCTGGCATTATATTGTGGTTACTTTAAAGGATCATTCGTGGCACTGTGAGAGCAGCATATAGGCACTGTACCGTACTAAAAAAATATAGTGCCACTTTGAAGGCTCAATTTTGGCATCGTAACAGTTCATTAGCGGTATGGTGGCACTGGTAGTATCATAATGGCACTCTCATGATCATTATAATGTTATGTTGGTGTGTAGCGAGTTGGCACTGTGGCGTTTCACTGTTGGTTTGGTAGTCATTAAATCTTCTGTTGGCATTATATTGTCACTGTTGGCACTGTGTCGTTTCACTGTTGTATTGAGACATAGACAGACAGAATGAGAGGGGCTGTGTTCGTTGTTAAAGCGTCAATTTCAACCAACTAAATTGTTATACGCTTGTGAGGCTTTGTGCTGTGTAAGACCCGCCTCCCTACTGTGTGTGTGTGTGTGTGTGTGTGTGTGTGTGTGTGTGTGTGTGTGTGTGTATAGTGATGTTACCGCGTCTCTTGTGCTCCTTTATAGTGGTCTTATTTCTCTATAATTTCTGTGGCGCCTCTCTCTCTCTCTCTCTCTTTCTCTCTCTCTCTCTCTCTCTCTCTCTCTCTCTCACACGATGGTTTTATTGTGGCGTGTATAATTATAGACCTGTAACTATATAATATTACTGAACTAATGGTATTAATGGTGCCTACAAAGTTATATCAATATGAAGTGGAAATTACACCATTACACCATAATAATATTCTTACTCCCTTGAATGGCGTTCCTATAGTGGCATTACTGTGAGGTGTTATGGCCCCTATGTTTAATGTCGCTAAGAACCTATTTACCTTAATGGCGTCTTGGAGCTAATACCAGTCAGTTATGGCGTGTGAATGGGTAAATAGAAATTGCACCTGTATATTTATTAACCACTCACCTGTTAATGGCGTGTGAAAAGGTGTATAAATAATCCACCTGTATATTAATTAACCACTCACCTGTTAATGGCGTCATGTAAAGATATCATAGTAAGGGAATTTGACATAACTCATTAGACACCTTTGAGTAATTTAAGGCGTTATTATGGAGTAAAGGGAAGGAAAATAAACTCTAAACACATATGTATTTTTCTCACATATTTTATTAGTAAATATAAAATATACAAATACTTCAAATACTTTCAGATACTTTCAGATACTTTCAGATACTTTCAGATATCCCAACACAGACTTTAAGCTGTTTAGTGAGGCTATGGAGGTCACCTGAAGATTAGCACCCCCACTTAAGTTTATTTTCACCCGACGATTTTTTATATATATATACGCTCTAGTTATCTGGGGAAGGAGTTAGGTTAGGTTAGGTTAGTGTTTGGTTAGGTTAGGTTAGGTTAGGTTAGGTTAGCGTTAAAATAGATTAAATTAACCATAGGATCTTTAATCATCTGGCAAAGAAAAAAAAATCAAACCTGGGGTGTTTGATCTTCAGGTGATCCCTCATACTAATTAGTTACTGTAGTATTAATTAACCTTTACTCACCTTTCTCTCTCTATCAACAGGTAATATAATAATAACACTGCTCTCTCTCTTTCTCTCTCTTTCTCTCTCTCTCCCTCTCTCTCTCTCTCTCTTTCAAATATACTGTATAGATATATATAAACCAACGTCAATATAGTAACTCAAAATATGGGATAAAATTTCACAAACTTTTAGATCAAAATTCTGTAGTACTTTTAAGTATTTTTTTTATACATGACATATATATATATATATACTTTTTTTTACACTTTTTTACTTAATAATTTCAACTTATCACCAAATACTGTGATCATAGTTTTGTTTTTATTGGTTCACTAAATATTACACTTATGAAGCGTCCACAGGGGGAGGGTTGTGGGGGGGAGGGAGACTGGGTTGGATTTTGTCCAGTTAGTGGTGTGAGATTGGGTGTGGTTTTGTCAGTCAATGGGGGAAGACTGGTTCAGTTTTGTCCAGTCAGTGAAGGAGAGACTGGTTCAATTTTGTCCAGTCAATGAGGGAGAGATACTGGGTCAATTTTGTCCAGTCAATGAGGGAAGACTGGTTCAGTTTTGTCCAGTCAATGAGGGAGAGATACTGGGTCAGTTTTGTCCAGTCACTAGGAGATTTACCACACGACTGTAGACTGTCCAGAAGGGTCGTGTGTTAATTAATATTATTATTATTATTATTATTATTATTATTATTATTATTATTATTATTATTATTATTATTATTAAGGAGTTCTTATCTGTTAGCGGGTTAGAGTTGGCACCGTGTGTGTGTGTGTGTGTGTGTGTGTGTGTGTGTGTGTGTGTGTGTGTGTGTGTGTGTGTGTGTGTGTGTGTGTGTGTAAATTAATGCCATACCGATTATAAAAAAGACTGTGTGTATATCTCTCCAACACACACACACACACACACACACACACACACGGTGCCAACTCTGTCCCTACTAACGTGAAACCCCTCCAACTACCAGGGTCCCGACGCACACACACACACACACGTACATAAAACCGGTAGCAGCACCTAAAGTTGTATTAATATGTACACACAACTCTCTCTCTCTCTCTCTCTCTATCTATAACAACTTTGTACATATTCACAGTTAAAAACATTTTATTTTATTTATGTACAGTTTTTAACATCCAGGATAGTTAAAAAAAAATTATACAAGATTCGTCCGTCCTTATAAATGACTAATATACTGTACAGGTGAATTAATCAACAGGTAAATGTATATATCTTCCAGGTAAACGAACACACATCTTCCAGGTAAACGAACACATCTTCCAGGTAAACGAACACATCTTCCAGGTAAACGAACATATCTTCCAGGTAAACGAACACATCTTCCAGGTAAACGAACACATCTTCCAGGTAAACGAACACATCTTCCAGGTAAACGAACATATCTTCCAGGTAAACGAACATATCTTCCAGGTAAACGAACACATCTTCCAGGTAAACGAACATATCTTCCAGGTAAACGAACACATCTTCCAGGTAAACGAACACATCTTCCAGGTAAACGAACACATCTTCCCTACACCTTCCCATTCTGACGACGGTGTGAGTATATTTATATAAGACTTGTGAGACCTTTGGCAGTACGGTGCTTGTGGTTGCTTTGCCCCTGCCTACCCCTATTTGCCCCTGCCTGCCCCTACTTGCCCCTGCCTACCCCTATCTGCGCCTACCTGCCCCTACCTTGCTCCTGCCTGCCCCTACCTTGCTCCTGCCTGCCCCTACCTTGCCCCTGTCTGCCCATACTTGCCCCTACCTACCAGTGCCTGCCCCTACCTACCCCTGCCTGCTCCTACTTTCCTCTCCCTACCCATGCTTTCCCTACTGCCCCTGCTTCTGCTTACCCCATTTAACCTCTGTCTGTACATTTCCTACCCCCTGCCTGCCCCTGCCTGCCCCTGCCTGCCCTTGCTCTTGCCTCCCTAATACTGCTAGCACCTGGCTCCTCCTGACTGCCATCGTCTGCCACTAAGGAAGTCTTGTCTCTGTGTTCTGTTTCTGTCTCCCCCAGATGAGACGCCTCTCCTGACCTCTCTCTGTGTGTGTGCACTTTATAAGCTTTTCTGTGCACCTTTGTAATCTCTCTGTGCACCTCCTAATCTTTTTTGTGCACTTCCTAACCTCTCTGTGCACCTCCTAACCTCTGTGTGTACCTCCTAACCTCTCTGTGCACCTCCTAACCTCTCTGTACCTCTAACCTCTCTGTGCACCTACTGACCTCTCTGTGCACCTACTAACCTCTGTGTGTACCTCCTATCCTCTCTGTGCACCTACTGACCTCTCTGTGCACCCTAACCTCTGTGTGTACCTCCCTAACCTCTCTGTGCACCTAACCTCTCTGTGCACCTTTGTAATCTCTCTGTGCACCTCCTAATCTTTTTTGTGCACTTCCTAACCTCTCTGTGCACCTCCTAACCTCTGTGTGTACCTCCTAACCTCTCTGTGCACCTCCTAACCTCTCTGTGCACCTCCTAACCTCTCTGTGCACCTACTGACCTCTCTGTGCACCTACTAACCTCTGTGTGTACCTCCTATCCTCTCTGTGCACCTACTGACCTCTCTGTGCACCTACTAACCTCTGTGTGTACCTCCTAACCTCTCTGTGCACCTCCTAACCTCTCTGTGCACCTCCTAACCTCTCTGTGCACACCCTGGCCCTTGACGCCCCTGACCCTGAGAGCTATTTAATACTAATAAAACAATAATGTACTTTGTATAACTCTTTCTTCACCCGACCATAGATTTGCTACTCGGTCAATTTTCTACCTGGGCAAGAGGTAACCTGCACCTATCTATCTGTCTATCTATCTCTCTGTCTATCTATCGATCCATCCATCTATTAGTCTACCTACAGTTACCTATGGATGTGTCTACCTATTCTTACCTGTGTATTGATAGGTATTAATTACCTTAACACCTGTCGCCTTACTAAACTGATTGCCTAAACTCGCTTGAGCATTTGTTAGTCTACGAACACGTGTGAGTTTGTCTACCTTGAGTGAGCCTTGTTGCTCCTCCATGGTGACACAGGTGCCCGAGGCTGTACACATACACATAATATAAAACGTGTGTGTAAACCTAACTGGTGATGCTTGGGTGAGACTGGTGGAGGGAGGGAGGGGGGAGGGGGGGGTAGCAGGTGTGAGGAGGGTGAGGGGAGGGAGGAGGGGGGTGGTGAGGGGGAGGGAGGGGAGGGGGAGGAGGGCGCCCCACAATGGTTTACACAGTGGTCTCGTAGTCAATACAGACGACGTCGTCAGAATGGGCTCGTTGTCACCAGGTGTCGTTCTCGGGCGGGATGAGGAGGTCCTGTGTGTTGCTCTTCATCCCGGTGCCGTTGTTGACGGCCGCCGTCGCCGCCGCCACCACCACCTTCTGCGTGTGTGACTGCCGCTTGTGTACCACCACGGCGATGAACAGTGACACCAGGGAGAGCAGCAAGACGCCCGCCGCTATCAAGTACACCCAGGGCAGAGTGGCCAGAAGACCGCAGGCGGCTGCCCCTTCGTCAGAGCCAGAGGGGCAGTGTGGGATGCCGTCACACCACAGCTCCTCGGGCAGGCAGGCCGAGATGTCTGGGCAGCGGTGCGGGCAAGGGTCGACGCCTGAGGGCATCAGCGACGGCACCTTGAGCGGCCGCCAAATCCCTATCCAAGTGACCAGGAACCGACCCGAGTAGTTGCCGATGTACTCGACGAAGAGATCACGTGACTGGGGAGGTTCCTTTGGTCCCTCCTCTTCATAGTCCTCAAGGAAGGTGGTCATACTGGTGGTGGAGAAGCTACTGGTGGAGAGGGTGGTGGTGGAGAGGGTGGTAGTGGAGAGGGTGGTGGTGGTGGAGAGGCTGGTGGTGGAGAAGCTAGTGGTGGAGAGGCTTGAGGTGGAGAGGCTGGTGGTGGAGAGGCTGGTGGTGTTCTGGTACGAGAAAGGATCTTCTTCGTACTGAAAGTTGAACTCGTAGTCCTCCCAGCCGCTACTGAAGATGTGGGTGTAAACGTCCCGCCGCTCCGGGCAGATGGAGGCGATGGGTGTGGCTGCCCCAGCGGCGTACACGTTGATGCGGGAAGCGACCTCACAGTTGTCCTCGGTGGCGGCGAAGCCTCGCACCCTCATGAAGAGGAAGGAGGCGTCAGTGGCGACAATGAGGCGGGGCAGGGAGGCACACAGTTCGCCTCGCCCCGCCCCCACAGTGAAGTTGCCGTAGCGGCCACCTAGCCGTCGGGTGGTGTCGTTGCAGCCCTCCGTCACCTCCAGCGGCGCCTCCAACACCGAGTATTCTCCCGCGAAGAAATAGTCGTCGTAGTCGTTGGTCGGGGACATATAGGGCACACTGAAGGTGATGTGGATGGTGTTAGTGTAGGACACCAGGTTGAAGGGCCGCCCGTTGGTCACATTACACAGACACGCTCGCTCGGCGGGGACGTTGGGCCAAGGTTCCTCTCTGATTTTGATGGCTGGGTGACCTGACTCTCCTGCGTGTGAACACTCGTAGCGACGGGAGGAGTTCCTGTACACAGTGTTACACTCTGTCCCCATCTTGGACCGCAGGATTCTTAGTGACACTCGCTGGTATGGCTCCACCTGGAAGGTGTACACGCAACGCAGTCTCTTGGCTCCGCCGCGACCGAACATAAACACATCCCTTGGAGATGCAAACAAGCGGTCTGGCCGAACGCTGAAGGTGCGGTCACAAGGTCCTCCGTCAGGGGTGGGATCACCCCATTGACGGATGTCAACAAACTCATACCGGGCCAGGAACTCCACGTGCGCGGGGCCCGTACCGGCGGCGTATCGTAGCGCCAGAGTCATGGCGGGCCGGGCGGACACGTAACTCTCCATCGGAGAGCAGGGGGCCGAGTAGGGCCCCGGGGCGTGCACTTCACTACACACACGAGGGAGCCTGTCAGGCTTACAGAACCTTCCCAGTAACAGGCTGCTGCTGTTGGTGTCGCTGCCCAGCGGTATGTCCCCGTTGTAGATGCTCAGAGTGTTGGAACACTTTGCTGGTTTGGGCATCTCTGGGTGGTTGACGTGGCGGTAGTGGAGGAAGTAGAGCCACACGATCTCTGTGTTGCCCGCCAGGAGTCGCCAGGTGCAGGTGGTGTTGGGCAGCAGGGAGTGAGCTGAGGCCTGTACGTAGCCACTACGCTGACCTTGGCTGTTCACCTGATACTCACACTCAGAACCTTTACGGACGTACGCCGTAGACTCGCGGTCCACGAACTCTACAGCCACGTCCAGTTCGAAGCCAAAAGTGCGACGTCGAGGAGAATCTTGGAAAGGGAAGTCGTAGGGTGAGGCGTGGAATAGTAGGAGGAGGTCAGGCCCGCTGGCTATGAGGCTTGAGAGGGGCGCCCCGCCCTTACACAACTTAGCCAGTACCGGCGACCTCGTCGTGTTGCCGTCGAAGGCCACCAGGTAGTCGTATATAGTGTGGCAGGAGGCGCCCACCTTGAGGCGTTTCTCCCGCGACATGTGAGGAACGTTGTGGTCCTTGATGTAGATGAGGTGAGGGTTACGCTGGTAGACGGACACCAGCGCCACCTTCCCCTCCGGCACGCGGGTCTGTCGGATGTGGTAGTAACAGGTGAGGTTACGGGGGTACATGCCGGGGAAGTTTGGTGACTGGATCTTACAGTTCTTCTTGTCGCAGTTCTCAAAGTACTTATCACAAAAAGAGTTGGGAAGATCCTCCCCGCGGTAGCTAGGACTGTAGGGTTTCCCGTACCTCAGGATCGCTCGTTCCTTGCGTAGGAAGCGGTAGGAGAGGCGGAGCATGATGGTGTCCTGTTGCTGGAATGATCCCGGGTTTGGCATGTCCTGGTTGGTGTGGCTGATGTTGAACACCCGCAACATGAGGGTGATAGCAGTCGTCTCCGAGTAGTAAACGTTGTGGCCCCAGGACGTCCCGCACCAGAACCCGGCGTTGAGGGGACGACTCAGCTCCTCAATCTGCATGTGGCCGTCAGGACAGCCAGCGTCGGTGTGGGAGGTGAACCTGAAGACAGAAACACCGAGATATACTGTATGTTAGCTGAGACGCCTGTGTGTGTGTGGCAGGGAGCTGACACACACACACACACACACACACCCACATGCACAATACTGTATATGTTAAACCACCTCTCACTACCACACTCCAATCTCCCTTCACCCTCTCACCAACACTACCACACCTCACTACCACACCCAATCTCCCTTCACCCTCCCACCAACACTACCACCTCCTCACTCACACACCCAATCTCCTTCACCCTCTCACCAACACTACCACCTCTCACTGCTCACACCCAATCTCCCTTCACCCTCACCAACACTACCACCCTCACTACCACACCCAATCTCCCTTTCACCCTTCCTCACCAACACTCACTCTCACCTCCTCACCACCACACTCCAATCTCTCACCCTCTCACCAACACTACCACCTCTCACTACCACACCCCCAATCTCCCTTCACCCTCTCACCAACACTACCACCTCTCACTACCACACTCCAATCTCCCTTCACCCTCTCACCAACACTCACCACCTCTCACTACCACACCCACTCTCCCTTCACCCTCTCACCAACACTACCACCTCTCACCAACACCCCCTCTCATAAAGCTTCCACACATAAACAACAGGACTTCAGCAGCACGACACACATCACAGCACATCACAGCCATCACACAACACAACACAACACAACACACCTCACATCACAGCACAGCACATCACAGCCATCACACACAACACAACACAACACAACACACCTCACATCACAGCACAGCACAGCACATCACTCACCACCCACTGAAACGCTGCCAAGGACGTGACACAATACAGAGAGTAGCACTTGGCCCACCTCTCCTCCTGCCCCGTCCCCTACCTCCGCCGGTGATGTTCTCTCCCTCCCTCTCCCTCCCTCCCTCTCTCCCTCTCTCCCTCCCTCTCTCCCTCTCTTTCTTCTCCTGCAGCAGTGTTTTTCTCTGGTATCTTTCTCACCTTCACAACACCACTGGGAAATCTCTCTCTCTCTCTCTCTCTCTCTCTCCTCCTAATAGATCTTACCCTCCCTTCCCTCCATGCCTATTTCCCCTTCCTCCATCCCTATTTCCCCTTCCCTCCATGCCTATTTCCCTTCCCTCCATAAACAAGATGTACTACAGTCCTCACCTGCCGAGGCTGAACTGCTCGATGCTCAGCTGCAGGTCGCGCGTACTGGTCCCCTGAGGCGATGAGGTGGGCTGACAGAAGTGTGGCAGGGTTGTCTCGTGGGGTCGTGGCACCTCAAGTCTGTAGGTTGAGCCCATCCTTCCGTGGTACGTCCTGTGCACGCTGTCGGTGAAGGTGAGGTGGTGAGGTGAGGGTGAGGTGAGGTGAGGGTGAGGAGGTGGTGAAGGTGAGAGTGAGGTGAGGTGTTAGGTGAAGTGTTAGGGGTGAGGGTAAGTGATCTGTTGTAGGTTATGCACACACACACACACACACACACACACACACACACACACACACACACACACACACACACACACACACACACACACACACACACACACACACACACACACACACACACACACACACACACACACACACACACACACACACACACACACACACACACACACACACACACACACACACACACACACACACACACACACACACACACACACACACACACACACACACACACACACACACACACACACACACACACACACACACACACACACACACACACACACACACACACACATACACACCAACTATAGCGCACACGAGGGAGGTTAGTCCATATGTGTCTGAGTGTCGAGGTAATTTTTGATAACAAAATGCCTGGATAATGTGTGTGTGTGTGTGTGTGGTAGACATGTACGAAAATGCCTCCTCTTCCTCACCTCCTCCTCTTCCTCCACACCTCCTCCTCCTCCTCCTCCTCCTCCTCCTCCTCCTCCCTACCACCTCCCACCACCACCCTCCTCCTCCTCCTCCTCTCCTCCCTCCTCCTCCTCCTCCTCCTCCTCCTCCCTCCTCCTCCTCCTCTTTGTCTTCAAGCTGTTGAGTCCTTGGCTGATGGGTTTGCTTCTTCTTTTGATGTCCTTATTTTTGTATTTTTTCTTCTAGTCCAAGACATTGTTATCTATTATGTAAGTCTTCCTCTTTCTGTCTTTCTGTGTCTGTCTGTCTGTCTGTGTTTCTGTCTGTATCTGTCTTAAAGTCTCTCTTTGTGGGTATCTGTCTTTGTTCTGTCTGTCTATCTGTCTGTCTGTCTATCTATCTGTCTGTCAGTCTGTCTCTTTCTGTAGTGTTTCTCTATTCATACCAACACACACACACACACACACACACACACACACACACACACACACACACCAATAACACTTTCATGGTGGTCAATTGCAGACATAATACATAGAATATTGTAAATGATTGAACGAGTCGAGCCAGGATCCTGCAGGACTAGACCCCGCTAATGCTACAAAGATGGCACTGGATGGCACTGGATGGCACTGGATGGCACTAAATTATGCAACCCCCCGCTGATGAGTGCCATGTATTCTGGACACAGTGGCTGGCATTCTCTCATCAGTGTGTCTTTGGGTGTATTGTGATTTGAGTGTTGGTGGTAGTGTAGTGGTTATTATGGGGTGTATTGTGGTGTGGTGGGTTGGTGTGTTGTGGTGTGGTGTATTGTGGTGTGTTGTTGTGGTGTGGTGTGAGTGTTGTGATGCGTTGTGGTGTGTTGTGGTGTGTAATTATTGGTTTTCATTTAATTAAAAAAAAACACGTGTTGAGATCTCGTCTGGACAAAGAAGAAAAGTAGAATGTTAAGAAATCAAACAAACAAACACACAAACGAACAAACAAACATACGGAATAAATATTGAGTTATTTTCCCCTCTCTCTTCCCCTTTCTTCCCACCTTTCTTCCCCCCTTTCCTTTCTTCTTCTTCCGTTCCTCCTCCTCCTCCCTCCTCCTCCTTCTTCTTCCTTTTTCCCTCCTCTTCTCCTCTCTTCCTCGTTTTCCTCCTCCTCCCCACTCCCCTCCGTCTTTCTCCTCCTCCCTCCCCCCTCCCCTCCCTTCCCCCCCTACCCCAGAACTTATATCCTCCGGGGCACGCGCTTCGGCCGTCGCCTGGAGATAGAATAGGGAGAAAGGAGGGAGGGGGGAGGGGGGAAAGGAAGGGAGGGGAAGGGTGGGGTGGTGCATAATAACAAGGACCCAACAACAACAACAACAAGACAAGAACTGTTGGGAAAAAGTTGACTGGGAGGGCAGAGGCAATGACTGGAGGCTAAATAGACTGGTGGTGACTGGGACTGGAGACCTCACTAACTGAACTGACTGGTGACTGGAGACCCCACTAACTGAACTGACTGGTGACTGGAGACTTCAAAGACTTAACTAAATTGACTGCTAGTGGCTGGAGGCATCAAAGACTTAACCGCTCTAACTGGTGATTAACACAAGAGAGAGACAGACAGACAGACAGACACCCAGACAGACAGACAGACAGACAGACAGACAGACAGACAGACACCCAACCCACAAAGACAACACAACCACACTCAACCAATCAAGAGGAAAGACCAAGAAGACAGGTGTGGTGAAGAGTCCCAGATGGCCAAGACGAACAAGAGGTCATAAGAGGTCATAAGAGGTCCAGTGCCACACAAGGGGGACACACACACGCGGCCCTTGTGTGGTAGTATGGCTTAAGATTTGTGTTTATTGAACCTTAAAGACTACTACTACTACTACTACTACTACTACTACTACTACTACTACTACTACTACTGGAGATATTAACCTTTGTAGACCATAACCAAAACAATAGTTGACATCATAACTCACTTATATGGACCATCCGCAATAATATTCTGATCTTTTAATATACAGACGCTACTAGTCTCCTGTGTGGCTAGGGTGGATCAAAGGGAGAATAGAACCTCAAGGAAGGGAGGGAACGAGAGAGGGAGAGAGGGAACGTGGTAAGAAGGTAGAGAAAGAGAGAGAGAGAAAATAAAGAGAGGAGAGGGAAGGAGCGAAGGGAGAAGGGATCGTAGCAAGAGGAGAAAGAGAGAGAGGAAGGGAGGGAGGGAACGTGGCAAGAAGAAAGAGAGGGAGAGAGAGAAAAAAAAGGGAGAGTGGGCTAGAATATGGCAAGAGAGGAAAAGAAAGAAAGAAAGAAAGGGGATGATGGAGAGAGGAAGAAAGAAAGAAAGAAAGAAAGAAAGAAAGAAAGAAAGAAAGAAAGAAAGAAAGGGATGTAGCTACCATAGAATGAGACAGGAAGGCCATTTATTTTTGTAGGCCTAGAGAGCTTTAAGGGAGGCATAGACAATACAGCATTAAATAAAGCACACATATTGTTAAGGAAGGTGGATAAAGCGTTAAGGAAGGTGGATAAAGCGTTAAGGAAGGTGGATAAAGCATTAAATGAAACATAGAGACAGCTAAACGAAACCTACATAGCGCTAAACGAGACACATCTATCGCTAAACGAGACACATCTATCGCTAAACGAGACACATCTATCGCTAAACGAGACACATCTATCACTAAACGAGACACATCTATCGCTAAACGAGACACATCTATCGCTAAACGAGACACATCTATCGCTAAACGAGACAGATATCACTAATCGAGACACATCTATAGTTAAACGAGACAAAGATATCGCTAAACGAGACACATTCTATCACTAAACGAGACACATCTATCGCTAACGAGACACATCTATCACTAAACGAGACACATCTATCGCTAAACGAGACACATCTATCGCTAAACGAGACATCTATCGCTAAACGAGACACATCTATCGCTAAACGAGACACATCTATCGCTAAACGAGACATCTATCACTAAACGAGACACATCTTTAGCTAAACGAGACAGATATCGCTAAACGAGACACACGTAAACAGAATCTATCGCTAAACGAGACATCTATCACTAAACGAGACACACTATCATAACGAGAACATCTATCACTAAACGAGACACATCTATCGCTAACGAGACAATATACTAAACGAGACACATCTATAGTTAAACGTTGTTGTTGTTGGTTGGAAATCTTGTAAACGAGACATCTATCCTAAACGAGACATCTATCACTAAACCATTGAAATCTATTTAAACAAGACACATCTATCGCTAAACAAGACACATCTATGCTAAACAGAGCACATCTATCGCTAAACGAGACACATCTATCGCTAAACGAGACACATCTATCACTAAACGAGACACATCTATCGCTAAACGACACATCTATCGCTAAACGAGACACATCTATTGGGACACATCTATCGCTAACAGAAATCTATCGCAAACGAGACACATCTATCACTAAACGAGACACATCTATCACGAGACATTCCTAGACACATGTTAGTTAAACGAGACAGATATCGCTAAACGAGACACATCAACACAGTCCTACTCACGTGTACATCCTGAAGGTTCATCACTCTTGTCCTCACAGTCGTGGTGGCCGTCACAGTATCGGTCCAGGCTGATGCACTGTTTGTTTCGGCAGGGGAACTCCGCTACTGTACACGCCGCCCACGATGACCTCACGCCCACGCACGCCCACACCATCGCCACTCGCCCACCACCACCTAAAGGAGGGAGGGATAGTTAGTTAGGGTGGTGGAGATTGATTAATTGTCTGTCTGTCTTCGTCTGTCTGTCTGTCTGTCTGTCTGTCTGTCTGTCTGTCTGTCTGTCAAGGAGTGTTTCTGTCTACTTTAACATTATTGTGTGTGTGTGTGTGTGTGTGTGTGTGTGTGTGTGTGTGTGTGTGTGTGTGTGTGTGTGTGTGTGTGTGTGTTGTTTTGTGTGTGTGTGTGTGTGTGTGTGTGTGTGTGTGTGTGTGTGTGTGTGTGTGTGTGTGTGTGTGTGTGTGTGTGTGTGTGTGTGTGTGTGTGTAATATATATTTGCTTAGTTGTTTATGACCGTGAACATCTTATTAAAACTTTACCTGTAATTTCTGTAACTACCTGTAATCACACCTGAGATCCGTCAACCAATCTATAACTATTGTCTTCAGAATTTACCTGTAATTGTCTCTAATTGCAGGTAAAAGTTTGTTTGGCCACTTAATGTAAATCGTCTTGGAGGACTCTGCCTGTGTGTGTGTGTGTGTGTGTGTGTGTGTGTGTGTGTATGTCTGTGTGAGTGTGAGTCTGTGTGTGTCAGTACCTGGTCTTGAGGTGTAATATCCGGTGGTCGGCCCTGTGTTTATTGTGTTGAGAGCAAGTCTTAATGTTATATCTTCGTATAAAGGCGTATGGGGAGTGGAGGCATGTGTGA